GTGCTAGAAATTTCCAATTTGAGATTTTGCTTTTTATTCTGGCATTGGCTAAAGAACTGTAGAAATGTGGTTTTATTCAGCTGATGGCCAGAGGCTAGGAGGATAAATAACTCCCCATGTGTCCATGTAACTTTTGTTTTAACTTTTGCACCTTCTCAGTGCCATAGGCAGCTGCAGTGGTCCCAGCTGTTCACCTACAAGGGAATATCTTGTTGGTTAGAAGCACAAACATTGTTGAAAGGACTGCATCTCATTGCGGCAGCGGGACGTGAGGCTGGGAGCAGACTGTGTGTTTTCTGATGGATATGGGTGATTCACTAGCATGGCCCCTCACGGTCCGTTAGGAACATCTGCTTAAAACTTGTTCTCTGGAAGACACAGTTGTCTTCCCTTTTAAAAATAGTTTTTTTTGGACAGCACATCCAAAAGAGAGGGATGAATTTCCCAGCAAGATACTCTTGGGCCATCTGTTCCTTTTTCTGCATTCGTCAGCTTTATGAAGTTGCACCTGGCCGAGCTAGGTAAACATCGTGTGGAGGACCCCTGAAGTGATGTCTCTCTGTCTGGTTCTTCCAGTTGCCACTGGACTTGGTCCCCTCCTTGGTTCCTTCACTCCACACTTGGAGCTAGCAAGTGGTGGCACTGTGGCAGACACTCAGACGTGGAAAGACATCAGCTTACTTGGTGTTCACAGGCCACCACTACCCTCTGGGCTGAAACTTCCCACTCATATTTTTAGAACTCTCATTGTGCTTAGGACCAAATGCAAGTAAGGTAAATGACAAGATGCCACCGATCTCCTCTCAACTTTGCCAGAAGAGAGGGGCACAGGCCTGAGATCTGTGATGTAGTCAGAGTCAGAGAGCTTGTGTTTTTGGTAAGTTGCTCCAATGTTTGATATTAAAAGACTCATAATAATGTGTAAAATAACTTCTTTTCGCAATAACAGGTGATCTAGATCTTAGGAATTGGTACATTTTCTAAGGCCTTTAGGAAGGTGCTTCTCAGGGGACAGGCTACAGTGCTTGGCAGCAACGACAGCAGAGTCAGGCACTGCAAGCCTGAGGGGTTTTCACTGGAGGACACCCCAGTTCTAAGAAGGGAGCACCAGGGGTAAGTGCAGCCATATGGAGAGGGACGTCCCACCAGTAGCAGGCACACAGTGGCCTTTGAAGCACAGAGCCATGGTCATTAGTCAGGAGGGCTTCTAGGAGTCCTTATTGGCAGTGCTAACCAGAAAACAGACCAACCAAGGGACAAGAAGCAACTTGCTTAAAACCACCTGGCAAGTTGCAGAAGAACCAGGATGGGCCTGGCAGTTCTGTCCAACCCCAGTCCAGGGTGTACCATACCGCCATATCACACGTGGCCTTGTCAGACCCGGTCCTGAGCAGAGACCTGATGCCTCCCCCCAGCCCTGTCTGCTCAGCCCCAACCATAGGAATGCTGTGGCCGCTGGCAGACAGGGCAGCAGTCCCCAGGCTCACAAGGCTATGGACTAGAAGGTGCTGAGCCTCGTGGCAGGAGCCCTGCACCCCCACCTGCAGCCTGTAATCATCAGTGGGGTTCTACAAAGCTAAGGCTCAGGCTCAGGCTCTGGTTAATGACCACGGTGGATGGGGCTGATCCCAGCTTCCAGGGAGTGTCACTGTGGATGCCGAAATGGCATAACTGAGATAAGGTGAAAAAGTGATAAATAAAGCCAACTTTTTACAAGCCATTTGGTCATGTTCTTTTGGTTTTTAATTCCCAAGAAGGCCAGTGAGGGAAGATTCCTGAGGCTTGGTTCGGTCCTGATTTTGTACAGGGTACCCACTTTCTCCCCTAGGTGGAAGTTCCTCCTCAGAAAGGCATTTTGCCTGGAAAACTTTATGGTGATAGTGCCAATCACATGCTCAGGGTGGTGTGCAGGCTGCTTGAGCCCCTCCCAGGACCACAGGAGTGGATCACCTTCTGTCTTGTGAGTGGCAGTGTCTTCCTGGCAGGAGCCTATGGCCCCAACCTCCCAGCCTTTCTAATCCAGACCAAGGGGCACTATTGCCCTTGGCTGTGACAACAAACATTAGTACACATCCAGTCACTGGTGATGAGGCTGGCCTTGGCCAAACCTTGTAGGTAAGTGGAGACTCTCCATCCTGGACCACAGCTTCATGTAGACAGCAGTGGTGGGCATGGTGGCTGCTCCCTAGAATATGTCATGCAGAAAACTCTTCCAACAGTTTGCATTGGGAGCTAAATGACAGGCTGTTTCCAGGGTAAAGTGAGAAAACCTCCCCACACCCCGATTTCAAAGCTGATCTGCTTGTCCTGGACAAGTCCTCACCCAAGCCCCCTGCCAGGTGCTTCCTCAGTGACCCACAATGGATGCACTGAGGTTGGAGCCTAGCTAAGGAGGAAGGTCCTGCCCACCTTTTCTCATGGGTCACTGACGTGGTGGTGGCCAGGGTAGGATGTCCCTCTGGAAACACTTCAGGGACAGGTGTTGGGGCCTGGCCCTACAGAAGCCATACAGCAGCATTGTGCTCTTGGGACTACACCAGGACAAGATTGCAGCCAGTCTGTCCCGTGCTCCCTCCACACCTGCCGGCCAAGGAGTGGGCTCAGACACAGCAGAGGCAAGCCAGCAAGCACTGAAATGCTGAGACAGAGCGCTCTGTTTGGACCTCCAGAAACTCAGAAAACTCCCTGCCCCCAGGATAGCATTGTGCCTTCTCTTGCTCCCTGTACCTGTGGCCAGGCCAGCCTCACCTGGGAGCAGAGCCAATGGAGCCCACATTCAGACAGCCACGTTTGTAGTTTGAGTGCCAGGTCCTGCCTTGTCTCATTGTGACGCCGGGCTGGCCCCTCTTGCACCTCATTTCCCACCTGTGTACTGCCTCCTGCTCATAATAGGGGTAATCCTCTTTTTCCCATGGGACAGGCACTGATAGCCACTTCCTACACATGATCGCATCTACCATCCCCAACCCCCTGCCGCTAGAGGCCTGTGGAAGAAATTGCTTCCCTGGGTTTTACTGGTGCAGAAATGAGTGGCCAGAAGTCACACAGCCACTTAGCGGCAGAGGCAGGGCACAATGCTCAACGCGCTCTTCCTGCTCCAATCTGCTTGGCTGCTGGGCCTGCCTGCAGGTACCTCTGCTAGGGGCCTGGTTGAGGAAACAATAAAGGTCTTGGGGAAATATGACCCACTTCTGGGAGCCTCCCCATGCTGCCTGTGGCTGGGTCCTTGCAGGAAACGTGCCCTGGCTTGGGGGCAGCCCCAGCCTCAGCTGATGCCCCTACTCCAGCTCTACCACCTGCTGACACCCACACCTCATGCCCCATCCTCAGCCTGCTCCTGCTGAAAGCCCTTCCTGGGCACCATTCCCTGGGGGAAAAGTCCTCAGGAAGCTCATGTGCAGTGGGGATGATGGGTGAGCCTCCATCTACACCCCAAGGGGTCAGCCCAGGGAAGAGCATGGCTTCCTAACATGAGGGCCAGGGGGAGTGGGTATGTGACACCATTTGAGGGACAGCAAGAGCCCCAATGCGAAGAACTTCACCCACCACTGCCTAGTTTTGGAAAGTCGCAGGGGTGCCCACTTAGTGGCAGTGCCCACCTCACTCCCCTGCCCCAAACCCTCTGGGACTCCCCCATCCTGCTACCCCAGAGCCTTTTGCCAGCACATCTCTACAATCACCCACTTCTTTCCTTTCAATACATATTATTGAGCTCCTGGGGGTAAATGGGTCAGGAGCTGCTTCTACCCTCAGAAAGATTATGTCCCTGTAATAGGGGTTCTGCAGCATCTGCCTAGCCTCTGGGCCTTTCTCCAGTTTGCCTCGGTCTCTTTTCCTGACAAACTCCTGTTCATCCTGCGAAGCAAAGCTCAATGAGGCTAGAAACATCTAAATGCTCACCAGAAAGGGGCTGGCTAAATTATAGCACCTCCTTCCTGTGGAAAGGATCAATATAGTAGGACATTCTTTATATGCCTATTTAGAACCTCTAAGATATGCTGTTGAGGAAAAAACTGAAAAGCAAGAAGCAAAACAGTGTATGCTACTGTTTGTGTTTAAAAATAGGGGAAATAAGAAAACAGTTTCATCGGGAAAAGACGTAGTAATTTCTCATGAAACTGAAGATACACCTACCCAAGAGAAAAACATATGCCTACAAAGACTTGTACAGGAATGTTCATTGCAGCCTTTTTACAATAGCTGAGCAGTGGGAATGGTCCAAATGGCCATCAGCGTGCGAATGGATGAGTAAAATGGTGGTCACCCATACAATGGCCTCATGCCTAGCAATCAAAAAGAACAAACTATGATACACACCAAGTGTGCATGAGTCTCAAGAGAATGAATCTCACTATCTGAAGTGGATTGAAAGAAACCAATCAAAACAGGGTGTATATGGTGAGAAAAACCAGAAAGTGTTGCTGCTAGTGTGTTGGAGATTGGCCGAGAAGCGCATGGGAACTTTCTGGGGGTGACAGTAACATCCTTGATAGGGTTTCGGTTTCATGTGCCGCAACTCATGGAATGGTCTCAAGATTAGTGCAGTTCGCGGTGTATAAATTTAACCTTAAGGAAACCCACAAATATTGAACTCATAATTGTATGTATGCTAAAGTATTTAGAGATGTAGTGTACTGATGTCTGCAACTTAGTTTGAAATGAATAAAAGAAGATTGTATTAAAATGGGCTGATGGATGAAGGGGCAGAATGGATAGTGTCTAGGCGGTCGGTTTACGGGATGGTCACTGTACAATCCCTGCAGCTTCTCTTATGTTTGAAAATTTTCATATATGTTGGGAATGGATGTGTGCACAGGACCTCCCTGGAGGGGTACATCGGGCAGTATAAGGCGGGTTGCTTCCGGAGAGAACAGAGTGACTGGGGGCAGGGGAGAGGAAGATTCTTCACTGTACCTTTACATTTTAAACCATGATGTAAATTATCCATAAAAATTTTTATTCTTTTTTTAAAAATTAAAACCCCATTCTTTTTTTAAAAAAATTAACCCAGCTCTGGAAGCTTTCCCTGACTGCTCTTTTCCCACAGGCACGTTGGGACGTACGCTCCCTCCCTGCCCCTCCACCACCTCCACTGCTAGGAAGTGAACCCGGACTGTGGCTCAGACTCCGGATCTCACTCCAGGCTTGGCCACACCCCCGGCAGGGAGGTGGGGCGGAGCCCAAGAGGAGGACTGGGCCGGGCCGGGGCGCGGGGTGGGGCCGTCGCTGTGCGCGTCTGTCCGCGCGGGGACGCTGTGGCCTCACAATCACCAGCGCGGCGCAGCAGCTGGGGAGTTCAGGGAGGTGCCGCGACCTCCCGGACCGGAAAAGGAAAGGGAGTGGTCCTGCCCCTGCTGCGAATTGCGTGAGACCCCACAGCTCACCGGATCGGCTCCAGCCAGACCCCTTACACTTCCCCTTGTCTCGCCCGCGACCCCTCGGGTACTCTGGCGACTGGAGCTCCCAGCTAGCCCCTTCCGCGTACTTGGCACCCCTCCCCCTACCCCGGTCTGGAGCGGCGGGCCTCCTGTGCGTTCCCATCACCTCCTGGGAAGTCCTCCGACCCTACCCTTAGCACCTGGCTTATGGCTCCTTCCTCTGTCTGTGGTGGGGCCGGCGGCTTGCTCTTTTCCCAAGGAAAGAGGCGTTGCGGGGGAGGGGGAGGGCGGCGTCACCTCGGGCAGGCAAATGAGCGGGAGTGCTGAGGCTCCGGGGCCTGCGAGCTAAAGGCGAGCGTCGCGCAGGGGGCGCTGTGAGTTGCGCCTCTCAGGACCTCGCGATCTGTCCCTTTGGCCACGGGGACCTAGGAAAGGATTTTGAGCAGGAAACTGGGTCAGATCGGGGGTTTTCAAAGATGGCTGGGACAGTGGGGAGGGGGCCTGCAACAGGCAAGCAGGCTGGTGGCCCTGGTGGCAGAGGCCTGACCTAAGCAGGGGTCGGGGTGGGGAGGTCACATTAACTGTTCCCCCACCCTCGCAGCCGATTGTGCGCGGACAGCCAGTCTCACACAGGCCCCTGGTGACTGCGCACGTGGGCCCGAGCACGCCTTGGTGATACTTCTGTGCACACCATTCGTGCACATGCCCCAGCCCTCGCGCTTGTGTCCCACAAGTTTCCAGGGTTACTGCAGCACGCGTGCTGCAGCGTGTGCCCCAGACCTGCACCGCCACCTCGGTGTCCCCTGTACCCCCCGCGCCTAGGTCCACCTCGCTGGCCGGCACGCACCCTGCGGTGCCCGACCCCGCCGCGTTCTTCCTCTCGGTGCAGAGTCCACGCGCCCTCCCCGCGTCCCCATTAATCACGCGGCGCTGACGGCGCCGGTCTGCGCGCGGACGGCGTGACGGTGACGGTGGCGGCGGGTGACGGAGCGGGCAATCGGCAGACGCCCATCGGCCCATCTTATCGCGCCGGCCCAGCCGCCGCCCGCCTCGCGCTGCCCATTGATCGCGCCGGGCCGGGGCCGGGGGGTCAGCTCGGGCCGGGCCTGCTTGACAGCCGCATCCGTCGCCGCCTAGACGCGCGTTGATGGCGGCACAGGCGGCGCGGCCTGGCCATTAATCACCGCGCTTTCCGCTGAGTGACGGAGAGGGGCGACAGGGCCAGCCGCCGCCAGCCAGCCCCCCACCCTCACCCCCAGCTGGCCCATCCCTTCCCCGCTTCTGGGTCCTGCTGCGCGTCTCTCCCTGTATGCCCCAGCGGTCCAGTCACCCTGGCCAGGCCTGGTCCCCACGGAGCCCGCTATCAGGGGAATAAATGGGAGGGGGCGTGGCCCCACACTGTAGGAGGCAAGAACAATAACCATCTGTGAGGACAGAGTAAGAGTGGGGAATGGGCGGATGACCAGCAAGTGGACTGAGGTGGACACTGTTCTACCTCAGTGGGCTCGTTTTCCAGAGACCAACGCTACTGCTTGGCTGGGAGGAGGCAGCTGTTTGTCCCCCTCTGGCTGCTCCAGCCCCTGCTGGGCCTCACAGTAAGAAGCATTGTCCTCTTCTTGACAATCAGTCCTAGACACTGAGGATAAAGCCCATGCCTTTGCAGTTTCTCTCTTCTCTGCTCCTGAGCTTGTGTGGCCCTGAGCCTGTGCTTGTCCCTTGGCTTAACACAGAAGGTTCCAGCCAAGAGGGATCTCTAGGCCTTTTCATGGGCCCACTGTCTGGGATGGGGAAGGGTGAGCCTAGCAGGCCTCTGGCTCCTGTTGAACAAATTGTGACCTTCTTCTCCCACGAGGGATTGGGAACCCTTCACTGAAGTTTAGTATCTCAAGTGCCTGATGTAGTCACCTCACCATGTCCTCACATCAATCTACGGGATATGATTGCCCCCATCTTATGGATGAGGAAACAAAGGCTCAGGACCAGAAGGGACTAGCCTCATCAGGACCGTGGGCCAAACACAATGAAAACCACATTCCTGTCTGCCATGTCCCCAGAACTTGGTTCCCACACCCCCCTCCCCGCCCCTCCCCAACACCAATCACCTCTGCCTGGCCACTCAGGCCTGTCCAGGCTGGCCCTGGGAGGGAAGGAGTAATGCTGGGTGACCAATGTCTGCTGCTTTCCTGGCAAAAAAGCAGCCTGCAGGCCCTGGAGTCTGAGACTTGGAGGCCAGTAGAGTGTGACTCTCATCATTGTGCAGCTCCATTTTATTAGAAAAATGGTTGAGAAAGATTTGATAACCAAGAAGTCACTCTCTGGTGTGGCTCTACCATTTGTGTAGCCCTAAAAAAATAAAGTATCCTATGAGCCAATCGAGGGGATACAACCTAAGGTGTGGTGGTGAGAAGGTATTTGGGCTGAGAAAATGAAGGCAGGGACAAGGTGACTTCCCAGCGAGGACCAGGAATGCTGTCTTTCCTTCCAGCTCCAACGTGGAGCCATCAGCACAAGAACAGGGAGCTGAGATTTACATGCAAACACTCCCTCCCGTACCTACCCAATCACTTTGCTGGGAGGCACCCAAGAAAGCCTGGGCCGATCTTGGGATATTCAGCCACTTCCTATGACCAACCCCCACCCTTCCTCACTTTAAATATTACAACAATTTTTCACGCCAGAGCTGAAATAGTGCAAAAAATGGGGCTGCTGTAATTGTTGGTAGATTGTGTGTCAGCCTGATAAGATGTAACAAATATATTCCTCCCTACCAGGGCCTGTTTCCCTCTTGGTAATGGATGGAGAAACTTCTCCTAGTTAGCGAGGGATAAGTCGTAAAAACTTCGCCTGGAAGATTAATGTAATAATCATAGGCCTTGCTGGAAAAAAAAGGAAAATTAAAATAACCCAACCTTCCCACTTATCCAGAACCATCTCCCTCACTTTGGAGGATAGGGAAGCGAGGTGGGCCACATCCCTGAGCACCAAGGAGCAGGATTCCTGAGGAGCAGGAATGGGGGCTGTGACCACACACACCCCACTCAACAGGACTGCTCTGGACATCAGGATTCCCTGAGCAGCTGGGAGGGACTATGTCCCAACCTGCACGTAAGAGGTTTGCTATTACCGCTGCTTTTCTGCTGCTCAAACACTGTGAAAGGTTTGGCGGCTGGAGGAAGAGGTCCAGGTGGGCAGAGCCTGGTTCTTGTCCTCTGGGATAAGATCTTAGGCGAGTCATTGTCCTTACATCTGTCCCTTCTTGCTTCACCTGCCTGGGATGGAGGTCAGATCTTGAAGGTTCTTCCAACTCAGCTCACATAGGGGACAGGAGCACAGACTCCAAGCACTCTTGATTCCAAATCCTCCTGGTTCCATCTCTTACCACCAGGACAAGTAACAAAACTGGCACCAATATCATAGGGCTGCTGTGAGAATGTGAAGCATTAACACAGGCCCTAGTTCACAATCAGCTCTTGCTACATCCATTGGTATTAGAGGCATCACTATTGTTTTTCTAATGTGGCTTAAGTTGGGAGGTTAGAGCCACAGGATATGGGCAGCCAGGACAGGCCAGAGCTCAGCCCTGTGTCCCACCATCACCCAACTGTGCCTGGTTTCCTTACCACCACCACCCCTACCAAGACCCCCATGCTGGGATCGCCTTCAGGGTCCAGGCCAGAAGAACCATTCTGGCAGCAAGGACTAGCTGGGAACTTCTCAAGGTCTGAGCATGGCCTGAGGGCTCTCAGAGGGATGGATGGACTCCCACAGCATCACCTCAGCCCTCCTGCCAGCAGTCTCCTGGATACTCTCAGGTGATCATCAGTAATGGGAGAAATGTTGTGCTTGCCCTACAAGGATCTCATGGTTAACTTGAATTAGAGCAATGACTGGATCAAGATGACCGTCTTGGTTAGTCCCCTCCTCTGCACATATAACAGCATGGAGGTCCTGCCCTTGAGGGCAGAGAAGCAAAACAAGCCTGTACCAAGGCTCTGCTTCTATGGCTAAGCCCTGCTTCAGGCACCAGAGCTGGCAGGCAGGAGCCAGCCTGGCAGAGAAAGAATGTGGTGCTCATCCTGCCAGGCGGGAATGTTCTGGTATGGTATCTGTCAGGCACTGCCACTTCCCCTTGCTCTCACGGGACTGAAAGCCCACTTCAGTGGACTAACAAAGAGATGTACCAGTGATGGGGACATGTCAAAGGGACACAGGAACCAACTGAAAGGGTTCTCAATGGTCAAAGCTGGATTAATTTGAGCAAGAAAATAAGTACTGTAGTATTGGATTATAACCCAAAGTATAATAAATATCCATTGAGTCCATACCAAGATAAATAATTGAATAAATAGCAAGAAGAGACAATCTGTGCAGAAGAATTCTAAATAATTTATGTAGATGATCAGCTCTCAAGGAGGTGGAGCAAAACTCCCCACCCCTTAAATGTGGGCTGTGCTAAGTGACTGCCAAAGAGGACAGTGTAGGAAAGGGAAAGAGTAACTTTACAGTGGAGAAACCTGACAAACACCTCAGCCAGGTGATCAAGATCAACATTAATAGTGATAAATCATGCTGACAATATGTGATAAAAATTGCACTTTATATGGCCTTCCTCCCAATAACCCACAATCCCAGTTGAATCATGAGAAAAATTAACTCCATTGAGGATTGAGAGAATATACCTGACCAGCACTCCTCAGAACTGTCAAGGTTATCAAAAGCAAGGAACGTGTGAGAAACTGTCATAGCCAGGAGGAGCCTAAGGAGAAATGACAACTAAATGTAATGTGGGATCCTGGGACATTAGATAACTCAGGAAATGGGAATAAAGCATAATAAGGTATCAGTATTGGCACATTGATTGTGACAAATATACCATATACTACCGTAAGATGTTAACCGTAAGGGAAACTGGGTATGAGGTATGTGGGAACACCCTATACAGTACTATCTTCACAATAATTCTGTACATCTAAAACTGTTCTAAAATATGAAGTTTTTTTGTTTTGTTTTTTTAATTAAAAGAAGAAAAAGAGATGGCATCAAAGTAACCTATAAGAGTTTATTAGAAAACACACCAGGTGAGGCAGGGTTCTGTCAAAGCAACCAGGGGAGAAACTAAGATAATTTAGAAATACTTCCCACACTGAACTGACAATGATGCTAACTGCGCCCAAGTGGGGACAAAGCCAAGCCCAGGGGAAAGCCCTGTGTTCACAGGCTGGACCTGGGTCCAGGTATGCCCAGGAATGTCTGCAGAAAACCTCAGCTGGCTCACTTCATGTACTTATCCTGCTGGTCAGCCAGGATTTTGGCCGATGACTTGGCATCATAGAAGAGCTCACTGATCTCCTCGACATGCTCTTTCTCGATGCTGTCCTTCCCGTTGATCTTAGCGAGCAAGTTGGCCGGGGTCAGCAGCTGCACCGAGTACCTAGAGTGGACAGGGGTCAGGGTAGGAGTGAAATGGTGGCCATAGATAGGAGCCTACTCTCAGAACAGCAGGAGCACTGACACCAGGGGATGAGTCCAATGTTGGGCTTGTGCTAGCTATTGGACACAGCAGTCAAGGAAATATGACAGCTGTCCTTTCTCAGAGAGCTGCAGTCATGACCGCATTGGAGGGGTCAGAAGTCACGTGACAAAGTCCTACTCCTCAAATCTTTGTTACAGTCCAAAAGTTCTCCAACAGAAGGTAGCTCCACTGCAACTTGAAAGAGACCTCAAACTTAGATGTATACACGTGCCAGGCAGGTAATACCTAGGTCCAGATAGGGACTTTGACCATGACAGGGAAATGAACACACAGCCACATGAAAGCACATGGCCCATCCAAAGGCATGAAAATCCAGGAGTTTTTAAAGCACCACTCCACCCAAACAGAACATTTTGCAATTCTATTTCACCCTTTGGAGCGAGGGAAATAGGGACATGCTGAAGATTATGAAGTCATGATTTCACAATGAGTCAGGACACTGAGGAGGGACATCCTCCACAGGCAACTGCTTCGAGCCACTGGTGAACAGTCAAGAAAGCAATCTATGTCTGCACTCTTCCCTCATGCTCGCCTATGCCCACCATCCCTACCCAAGACATGCATGGAGAACAGAACCTGCGGGGGTGAGACAGGGCCTGGCCAATGAGCTCTCTGCCCTGGACCCTGGTCTCTGGTTCTGTCCATCTCCTCTACCAAGGGGACTGGCCCAAAGGTCAGAGCCAGCTCTCTACCACAGGGGTGCATCTGCTACAGGACAAGGAGACATAACCTGTTGCTCTAGCTTTTTAAACACCATCATCTAAATTTAACCCTCTGTCGGGCGCAACTGATCTCACAGAATGTTTTGAATTTCTGTTGATTTTTATGCTGAATTTATGTAATAAACATATACTGTTTTTACTTTGTGGCAAATTAAAATTTCACTCTGAATAAATAATAAGCATGCTTACACATTATTTCCATTCATTTTCAATTTAAATAAATGTCATACACACATCTAGTAGATAGATGCCTTGCGCCCGAATTCGTAACTTTTGCATTGCGCCCGACGGAGGGTTGGTTAAGCACTCCAAATTGCAATGATCTAGGACAAGATCTGTCACACTAGTAAGAGCAGACATGGTCCTATACCCTGTGAAAGGGGCCTGCCTTTATGATCCAGAACAGACCCCATCCAGGCCCCACAGGCTTTGCTGAGAAGGCACCAGGAGGGTCTGGGGCAGCTCCAGGCAGATGCAGGTCCAGGGGCAACCAGCTCACCTCAGGGTAGTCTTGGTACCAATCTCCCCCAGGTGGTTCAACGCCTCCTCACTGATGTTGATTCCCTCTGTCTGGGCACGGATTTTAATGATCTTTTGGAGGAGAAAAACCATGATCAACAATGACTGACCTCAAGTGTCCCATTTATAAAGTGCTTTAAAAACAACCTTGTTCAGTATTTCTCATCCCGCATCATAAGAGCAGCAGAGGCCCAAACCTGGGCTGGTGAGGCAGAGAGCGACCCCTACCCAGGACTGCTGGTTTCGAACACCTCCAGGGTGCCAGCGACGCAGTGAATAGCTTGACAGCCACGGTGTTTTTCAGCATTTATACTGATTAGAAAGTGGCTGGTACCCCTGAAGGTGTGCACCAGGGTGGCTCAGCTCCTGCCTCCCAGCCCTTCCCACTCAACCCCCAGACCCAGAAAACAGGACTGTCCAAAACCTGCCCAGGTTCCCACACAGTCGTTAACCTTCCTACTACTTATAAGCACTCAGGCAAGAAGAGACAGTTTTTATTTGCTCGATAAATAACAATGGTTAAATAAATCAAAAAAGTTACTTTTAAAGATTTACCAGCCCTCATAACATCACTGGAAGATATCTAATCTATCAAGAAGAGGCTGACGTTTGTTGCAGTTTAAAAATCCCAGTAATGTTGGACGGGAAGCAAGCTGGCGGGGGGACGCGTAACACACGGGATCTTACAGGCGCACCGGCACTGAATGATAAGGGGCAGCAGGGATAACGATGTTGTGTGTTGTGGAGCCGAGATAATAGGACTTTGAGCCTCATATAATACAGGAATTTTTCACTATGGCAGCTTCGTAAACAAGATATCAAGAAGCCCTTGTTTAAGTTAAAGCCATAAAAACACACCCGGGTAGAGATGTAGGAAGTGGGAAAGACAGAGCCCCCAGCTAAAGCCTTACAAGGGGAAGAGAGGGACCAGAGGTTTAGGAGATGGACACTTCAAACTGGCCTTTCAGCTCTCAGGCAGAGACCCTGAGGGCAGGAGCTGCAGGCAGAGGGAGTATAGTGTCCTGAGAATCTGATAAGGGGCCCAGCATATCAGCTTCTATGAATGGGAAAGGCCCTGCTCAGTAAGAAAGCCAGGTCTCCTATAAGTAAGTAGGGCTGAGGTGACTGGGCCAGCAAGCACTGGGGGAAGCAGTTAGGGCTGGAGGGCCAGGTGTTGGAAGGAAAGTCTTTCATTCTATCAGGAGACTTATACATTTTGTATGAAATGTTCTGATTTCTAAATGTTGGCAACTTGTTTAAATATTTCACACTGCACTAGCCCCAATAAAACCTATCTGTTCAGCCAGTGATGCCAAGATATAATCCCTGTCAAAAGAATCTTAGCTTGTGCATGAGAGGTTCCACCATCTGGGGTCCAAAGTTAAATGCAGCTGAGCAGAGAAATTACTGGATGGGCAAGAGGAAGGCAGAAAGGGAGTGGGGAGAGAGGTCCCTGCTCCTGGCTCCAGCCGCAGGACTCCCCTCTGACCACAAGTCAGAACCAGACAGGTTTGTGCTCCAATATAAAATGGGCTTCTCACTGCCAGCTGGGGACTAAGGAAACCTCCAGGTCCTGCCAAGAAAAATGTCTCCTGGGGCCTTCAGAAACTCCAGGGAGATGCAAATATTTAATCCTGGAGCCCGGTCAAGAAGAAAGCTTCAGCCCTAGCATCTCATCTTCAGCAAACTGCGCTGAATTGGGAGATAGGCTTCAGGAATGTCAGGGACAGTCTGCTCTCAGTCTCTCTAGAGTAGGTCAGAGCAATCCCAAGAGCTCCTGTTTCAGACTGCTCAGAAATGGACAGTTCATAAATTAGATCTTTAATCATTTAATAACCTGCAGGGATAGTTTATGAGGGTGTCGGCACTGATGGCAGAGTACAAGTTACATTTACTTTGCTTTTTAAAAATACCTACCCCAGGCTCCAGTAAAAATGCTGAGGTTATCCTTGAACCCATAAGAACAAAACAGTGCAGGTGCTGGCAGTAAGTCCACCACCTCTGACTGAGCCAAGACGAGAACCAGCCCAAGAGCCGGCCCGCAGTCACTACTCTGGAGGCCCAGTGCAGAGCGGGAGCTCAGACTGCATGCTCTGGGGTCAAATGGAAGCAGCAAATGTAAACTGACTCTGAGTCAGGTCCTAGCTTTCTGCAGCTTATTCTGTGACCATGGGGCCCTTGTTCCTGAGCCACAAACCCTGGTTATTGAAAGCTATTGTGAGGACCATAGAAGATGTCTGTGAAGCATCTGCAAGCTGTTAACAGTAATAATTACTGCAGTGGGAAGGAACTGCTGGTCCTGTCCCTTCCCTAAGTTATCGTTGCTAATTCAGTCCTCACAAGTCCTCCCTCCTTGAGAGGAGGGAGCAGATTTTCCAGTGAACCAGGAAGGCTGAGGCTCATAGAGGTTAACCAAATTGCTCAAGTCACTTAGACACGAAGTGCTCCGAGTGTGCAGGACACTTGAGGTTCCAGTCCCAACAGTAAGGATGGGGAAGGGACCAATTTCTCCTTTGCTTTTGCTTCTGCTTCTATTCAATGCATGCTTTGGCTTCAACCTAGCATTCATCTAAGGGCAAGAGACCATTATCTGGTGACAAAGGCCCCCAGCCATGGACACTATCTCCTAAGTAACGCACAAACTTGCTGCCATGAACTACAATTGTTTCGGTATTCTGTCAATGCTGGTTATAAAGGGAGATCTCTGGCTTCATACTTACCTCGGCACTCCTGGGTACTGGTCAATAAGAAATGTTGGCAGGGCCCGGCAGGACAGGCCACATGTGAGCAAGGGGGCAGCCAGGGAGTACCCAGGAGAGGCCCTCATAGCTCCAAAAGGAAAGGCCCTGCCGACAAATTGCCAGAGGAACTCCACCCTGAATTGAGGCATTTCTAGCAGGTGGGAGGCTAGCGGCATGGTACTTAGGAAAACATGGGCTTCAGGATTAGACAGCCTGGATTCCAGTTAGTCCTGTCACCTACTAGCCACTGACAAACTAACTTGGGCACTGAGTTAGCCTAAATCTTGGTTTCCTCATCTTTAAGAATGACAATAACAGTTCTCCCTATTTCATGGTTACTGGGGATCAAATGGAATCATGCTGGCTAAGCATGTCCATGGACTTAGTACGATGTCCAACAAATAGGGCCTGTGTTCTGGTGAGAGGAGAGGGTCCAGGGAGAGACCTTCAAGACATCAGTGCAGCCCTGGTCCACTCCACATCCGCAGCCTTGGCCACATGCAGACCCCAGAGTGAGACAGAGACCTACACACAAGCCGTAAGACCGTCTAGGGCACAGGAAAAGAGTACTGTGTACCCCCAGTGGGACAGCAACCAAAGGTGCAACCCACCACTGAGCATATGGCCTGAGCTCTGCAGGGCACAGCCTGGCTTTGCATCCTGGACTTGCTACTCTGTGACTCAGCCATCAAAAGGAAAAGAGACTATGACTGTAACAACTACTGAAGTACCAGTTAGGGAACTAGAAATTCTAAGTGTGCAGTGCCTAGGCACTGTTTAGCACATAGTTGGTCCTCCAGATCAAGCAATAGGTAATTCCTTCGGGAAGAACTGGGACTGTGCTCCTTGGCATAAGGCCCAATTTCATAATCTCTGTCACCCCGGCCCCAAGCCTAACTCAAACTCAGCTCACATGGTATTTTGAACATGCATTCTGTCAGGGACTGAGCTAGATGCTTCCATGTACACCTCCTTCAAGCCTCTCATTTTAAGGTTAGTTTTATGACCTCTATTCCAGGAGCCCCTCTCAGCTGTGTGACCCTGCTTTACCATCATCTCTACAGGCCCAGGCACAGCCTCCAAAACCTCCAAGAAATCCACCACTAGTTATGTGGCTTACGGCAGCCAGACTCTGCTAAGACTCAAGTGCGCTTGGCCCCTCCAGGTTCTACGCCTTGCTGGGGCCAGCCTGCTCTGAGTTCTGGTGGGACAGACAGCCTGGCTTCCCCCACTGAGTAGAAGAGACCTCCAGACAGGGTCTGGCCTGAGCACCAGGAGGCTATCACTAAATCATATGTTACTGCCTCTTTCCCAGAGCTGGTGGCCTCCCTAATGGCTGTTATCAAGTCAGTATTTTTCACTATCCCTTTCCTGAAGTTTACAAGAAGGGATATAGGCAACTGAGGTTTTGTGACACTTCAGGCAATGTCTAGTTGACCCATCCATCCCTGGGATGGGGGATCTGAGGCTCTGGAGTATTGTGACTTGCCCAAGGCAGGAGCTAAGTGGTGGGACGGTGGTGGGAGCCAGGTCCCCTCTGTGGACACCTTCCTGCATGGCATCAGGGGAACACTGGGAGCAAACAAGGGGAGAAGAGAGTGGGAAGGCAGGCTCACCTGTTTCATTTCCTGCGGTGTGTAGAGCATGGTCCGGATGATCATCACTCGGTCCAGAAGGTCGAGAGGGATGCCGTGAGGAGAGGTGATGTCCTCAGTGCCCCTGTAAGAGCCAAAACAATCACATCACCCTGGGCTGTCTGACACCAGGAACTGAATATTAGAAACATGGCTGAGGCACTCACAATGACAAAACAGCTAATTCACGTCCTGAGAGTCAGAGCCAGGACCACAGGGTAAACAGACTAACATTCAGGTGTCATCAAACCAACTTCATTATTTTAGCAAATATCAATACCATAGGAAATTTGGGGAAGACAAAATAAAAAAAGCATTTCCTTGATTTATTTGAATGCTTTCCTTTATACGCACTAGTTATTTTATTTCTTTTTTAGGAGCTGTCCAATCATCTCCTTTGCCTATTTTCCTCTTGAATCCTTAGCCAAGCCATAGGGAGAACATCCCAGAAGAAGAGCCCTGTCAAACCCACTGGGCCTTGAGGTACCAGCTATCTGGCAGGATGTTGGGCAGACCTGGCAGCCCATGGGCTGGGCTTCAGCCACAGCATCTGGAAGCCCATGTGCTATGGGTTTCTGCCTGAGCCTTTGGGAATCACAGCAGCAGAATGTCTACATCAGCACCGTTTCTGGTGCCAGGCTAGAGTCTAGGGTCATAACTTATCAATTTAACAAAGAACAGAGACAGTTCATTTGGATTTAATTGTTATTATCAGAATATTCAGTTTCAAATATAAATAAAGATTGTAGATATAGAACTTGAGTAAAAAAAAGTATCTGTTGAAATTCAGTTGAAGTGTAAATGTATACTTATTACTGCAAGAATAAAATGTTTTTCTGATATATGCTACAATAGGATGGACCTTGAAAGCATTATGCTAAGTGAAAGAAGCCAGTTACAAAAGGGTAAATATTGTATGATTCCACTTATAGGTAATGTCTAGAAAAAGCAAATTCGTAAGGAC